AATTACATGTGTAGTGAATTTACAAATATCCTCAGAGCCTGATTGTTTGAAGAGTCCACTTTATGATTTGAATAAATCACTACAAGACCAGTCGTGCTACACGAATTAATGTGAATGGTTTGTATAAAGCACAAGATTGGATGTACTTAACTGTTTAACCTGTACTGAATACAGCAGTCATGACAGGCGTTAGCTCAGTGGTAAGGCTTGTATGCAGGAGAACATGGGTTCAATTCCATGTGGAATGGGAATAGAATAAAGTAACCAATCATCATGAAGGGTTGGAGCCAAGTTAATATGCATGAAATTAATATTTAATGCACAAATTGCAGGTACAGTAGGAAATGCAAAAAACAAAAAAANTAAAGCACAAGATTGGATGTACTTAACTGTTTAACCTGTACTGAATACAGCAGTCATGACAAGCGTTAGCTCAGTGGTAAGGCTTGTATGCAGGAGAACAGGGGTTCAATTCCATGTGGAATGGGAATAGAATAAAGTAACCAATCATCATGAAGGGTTAGAGCCAAGTTAATATGCATGAAATTAATATTTAATGCACAAATTGCAGGTACAGTAGGAAATGCAAAAAAACCCTGTACTTTTTGTTCCAGTAACCTTCAACAACCTTCAAGAGCACGGCACTGCTGCAGCCTCAAGCTTTCAGCCTGGGATTTGATAGTTTGGCCGCAGATGTAGCTGTATTTCCAAAGAAGGGGATGCAGTGGTCAATCATCATCAACGTTCAGAGCCAAGTTAATATACACGAATCTAGTGCTAATTGCAGGAAATATAAACAACTCCCTGAACTGTCTAAACCTGTAACCTCCAAAATACTTTCAAGAGTACATTTATAGCGACAGGATTACTGAGGAGTGTTGCATATGAACGTTTATGTGTTAGACAGGATATGAGGATAAACTCTGTTGCCTTGATTCACCATCTGTGCAAGTCAAGTGGTCAATCCTCGTTCAGTAAACTCTTTTAATTTATGCTGAATTTGAAATGTCTACTCTGGCGAAGATGATTTATTCTGTATGTCTCCTGTGAGGCATTAGCAGACTGGTTGACCACAACCACCTTAATCCCAGGGGTAAAGCATCATTTCCTTGTGCAGCATCCCCCATCCCCATTGTTCAATCATGAGGTTTCATACTGTACTTGGTATGGGGTCCGAAGCTTGCCTTCAGTGTAAAGCAGATGAACCAAGTGGATGCGAACTGACCAATTGACTTGCAAAAATGGCTAATTATAGAAATGAAGTTCATCCTCCTAACCTATCTAGGAGATAAATGTTCATCTGTGGCAGTGATTTCTAATCCTCATCAGAAAGTTCACAGCTTTGGCTTGAAATGTGCTCTTGAAGGTTTTAGAGGTTATAAGATCAAAATAATCAGGGTTATATATACATTTCTTGTATCTTCAAAATATTTGCATTTAGCACTACATTTGTGTATTTGGACATAGACTTGGCCCCTGACCATTGATGCTTACTGGCTATTGTAACTCATTTTTCGGAAATAAGGCAACATCTGCGGGCAAATGCCCAGAGCTGCAACAACTCTTGTGTTCTTGAATGTCGTTGAAGATTATTACATAAAAAAAATACGGGTTTTGCTTACATTTCCAGCTGTACCTATAAATAATGCAGTAAGAAAGAAATTCATGTAGACTCACGTGCTCCCCGCCCCTTAATGTTGGTTGGTTACTCAGTCGTGTTCCTTGGGGGAAGGGGAGGGTCATATGATAACTCCTCTGCCCTCCCCCGAAGGCGTGGTTTCGCTTTCTGTTCCCACAGAAGTGGCCCCGCCCCTTAATGCTGATTGGCTGCTCATCACTCATGGTCGTGTACCTGCCGCATGTTCGTGTTCCTGCCGCGGTGCATCGGAAAGTACCTGGTTTTTGTTTACATTTTGCCGCGGTGCACCGGAAAGTATCGGGTTTTTGTTTACATTTTGCCGCGGTGCAACGGAAAGTACCGGGTGTTAACGAAAAGTTCCGGGGTTTGTTTACATTTCTTGCTGTATGCACAAAATCTGCAAAAGTACTGCCCTGCTTCGGGTTTTCCAAATAACCTCCGGGTTTTCACAAAAACCAATCAGGTTTTCAGAAAAACCTTCCGGGTTTTCCAAGTAACCGGGTTTTGTTTACATTTCTTGCTGTATGCACAAAATGTGCTCAAAGACTGTCTTGCTTCGGGTTTTCCAAATAACCTTCAGGTTTTCAGAATAACCACCGGGTTTTCCAAATAACCGACGACCATTAAAACGAAAAAGTACCGGGATTTTTAAATTTAATTCCTCATTTGCAATCAATACTGTGCTCCTGAAGGTCGTTCAAGTATCAGGTTTTCCTGATAACCGAAGGCCATCAAAACAAAAGTATCAGGTTTTCCTGCTAACCAAAAACCATTAAAATGTAAACTACTGTTTTTTTTTTATTTAATTCCTGACTGCGGAAATTTTGCTCACCTTTGTTCATAGCTTCTGTAGTGTGGTGAAATATTAAAGAAAAAAATCCATTGAAGGGCCTGGAATACTGTGGGTGGTAAAATGGTGTGTCTTGAAGACTTTACTCATGACCCATAGAAAACTGCCGTAATCCTTGTTAGTAGCAGCAGCAGCAGCACTATTGCGAAATACTAGTTCGTATGTTAGGTTTCCTTTCTACTGACTTACCTGTAGGAATATTTTAATGATACATCAGTCATGGATCAGTAGGTTCGAGGAGGGGGGCATACAGAGACAGCAATGTGACCTCATAGTCCTGTTTTAAAGGAAAAAAGCTGTGACACAAGCTGATAAAATATTCTTGGGCTATCAGCCATGTCTGACGCTAGGGAAAGAGATGTCCGTGCGATATCGGTGATACTTAACCAGTTGACACGGCTGAAAGCCAGAGCAGATTTCATCCACTGTAGCTGCCATGAAAGTTTCAAATCTTATGTTTAATGTGAGGTTTACACTGTAGATAAAAGGTAAAGTAGGGTAATTTTATTTCAGACGTACACAGTATTTGTTACATGCCACAGAAATTTCAAAATGTGACTACCCATATATGAATAGACAGCTTGTAGCATTTTCTTTTTTCTCAACTGCAATAAAAAACTGGCACTTTTGATATAATATCACTGTTAGAGACAGAAGTTATGGCTGCCATAGGTATTCTGTGTTTCACGTAGTGATGTGATACAATGCAAGTGTGCTCTGTACACAGGACACCACTGGAGGTCAAGCAACAAATATTTAAATATGGATTTCAATTAACATTATGAAATTTCCAATTTCACAATGTGGGATATATCATTGGGAAGTGTATGTCTTCTCCTGGTGACAGAGCTTGTACAAGGGCATGCTGAAAGTAATGACTCCCGATTTCTTTTCCATAACAGCAATTTCATTCATGCACATCATCCTAATTCACCCTTCTTCTGACCTCTCTTGATGGGCCAGCAAGCAGTTCATACTAAAGCAAGTGTTACAGGTCTAAATTAATTGACTGCATTAAAATGAAACATGTTTCAAACTTGCATATACCAAGGAGTACCTGTACTTCTGCAAGTGTGGCAGGACGGAACCACATTTTCGCCACTGTCTTATGGAGGCATTACTTTTCAGCATACCCTTCCAGGATGAAAGCTGCTAATACCAGAGCCCACCAGTGGACACATCATGATCCACAGTCATATACCCAGTTTTGTCAAGATCTGGTTTGATATTTTTCTTCCACCACTTTTGCTTTCCCAAGTGGATGCTTTCCAGCATGTTCCAACAAAAATATTGTACGTATTTGTGTCCAATTTTTTACTGGAGTCCGTCATAACACAATAACATAACAGTCAAGGTTAAAAATACCCAGCTATATGCTTCGGCATTTTAAAGCCATCATCAGGCAAAACACATGATTACAGACAATTAGTAATCATGTAGCTAGGTAACTTTAACCTTGACCATTATGTTGTTGTGTTATGACGGACTCCAATAAAGAATTGTATATAACATGACAGGATGCAAGGAAGGGAAAAGTATTTGTGTTCTCCCATTTCAGCTACAAGTCCTTGATGTAACTTCCTGACAAAACTGGAAAGCTGTATAATCAAGTTCCTTGGTGGGGACGCTGTGTGCTATTACACTGTGTTGTAGTCTGGCAGGTGGATACCAGGGTTCTGGTGAAACACACCATGCTGCAGTCTGATAGGTGGATACTAACAATGTGTGCCTCCATCTTTAGGATGACTCCAGATATCAGACATTTAGATTATGTAGGTACAGATGTTTGAAGTCACAATATGAAATCAGGTCACCCACAAACAGCAGTTTCATTTGGCTGATGATATGGGATGTGATACTGTGTAGGTTTGTAGAAGTTTAATGACATTTCAGAGGTACACAATGCCTTCAGCTTCAATTTTCTATCCTGAAGATGGAGGAAGTATATTTGTCTGCACTGTTGGTTAAAACAAATTACAGAGCATTACATTTCAGAAGACTTGTCCTCAATAATATTGCGGAAAAGTCAGGATGTGATAGAATGTATGTAGTAGAAGTCTACCCTTACAAAGGTGGCAGTACGTTCCTCCAAAATGTTGGCTCACTCCTACCCACCTACACAGCGTCACTTCCAACTTCCTCATGATTACTGCCATGAATATCTCAAATGTTGCAAGTAACACTGGTGCTTGTAGATGACTGTACTTCCATTTATGAACAAGGAATATTGACACACTACAACAATACAGTAATTGTGCTGTACTGATTAAACTGAACTGTGATCAGTGCAGATGAATTACATTACATAATGAAAGCAATTCTCAGAGCTTTGTTTGAACAAGTCTTCATCACAGTAATGAGTCTGTTAGGAAATCTGTACAAATTAATAAGAAATGGCAAGTCTACCATTGCAACCATTTAAAGCTATCGACCTGATGCTTCAGTGGCCCTGCCTGGGCTCCAACTGCATGTGGCCACCTCAAGTTTACAGTGAAACTTTGAGTGCACACAAACATATCATGAAATTTAAGCATTTTTATATCATTTTTCCCAAAGATTATATACATTTAAATACTACACCAAAGAAAACTATTTTATTTTATCTTTTTCAACAGGATACTGACCAATAAAGAAACAACATCTTCAGTTTCTTTTGATAAGTGTGTCATACCTTTTGTTTGAAAACCATTTACTGAAAAATTAATTACCTATGGTAAGGACAGATAGTAATGACCATCAATTACCATAAGAAGACTGCTCTGAGTGAGAATGCTATAAACTAAAATCAACTCCACACATAATTCCAACCTTGCAAGTAACCACACTAACTGAACAACATATTCTTCATGCACCTAATGGAGTAGGTGTACATGTTTTAAATTATAATCCCTGTTTCATGAAGAAATACACAAAAGTAACAACTTCTGTAATAATGTGATTTCAAGTTAATTTCTACTAACAAAGACTAAAACATACTGAAACTGTCTTAAATAATTAGGTGGCTGGAATATATGTGACTGAGGTTGTCAACTTACAGTTATACATTACTGATATCAAGAAAAATGTAAGTTTGGGAACACCTGTAGTCAGTCTGTGTACCTTCTTAAGTGAAGATTAGTAACACATCAGGATTACAATTCATACTTCAGATAATATTCATTTTGGGTTCAAATCATTATCACCACCTCCAAAAAGATGCCTAAGTTCAGTCTTACACAGTTTCATGAACAGATATTATTGGCTGAGTCTATGTGTCTTTTGAGTTCTCGTATACCTACAGAAGACTCTTGATCATCTGCATGTGGATTAAACACAGGCCTTTTATAACTGCATATAAGATTTGTAACCATCGTCCAGTGAGATTGATAAAAAGTTGCTTTTAATTTTTCATCCTTCATATGTTTCAGTCAAAACGACCACCTTCTGAACTTATGGAAACTACTGTTACATGTCATAGATATATATGTTATATCATTTAACTAATATTAAGATGTACATTGATTTGTTAAAACATATAAAATTATTACAAAAGTGTAAGGACAAGAAACCAAATTGGTTCTAGTTTAAAACAAATACTGAACATTATTTTGTTAACAGACTAATTGTAATAATTTTAGATGTTTTAACAAATCAATGTACATCTTAATATTAGTTAAAAGATATAACATATATATGTATGACATGTAACAGTAGTTTCCATACGTGTTGATAATATCCTTCTGAAGATGGTTGTTTTGACCGAAACATGTAAAGGATGAAAAATTAAAAACAACTTTTATCAGTCACACTGGATAGTCGTTAAAAACCTTATATACGTTTACTAGTGTGATGGACCAGGATGAACCAAGTTACTTTTATAACCCATTACAAATGTTTCAGTGATATATCAGTGGTGCTTTACAATGATTTGCAGTAGACTGTACATCTTCTGATTTGTTGCTTGTATAATTTTACAGCTTTTCATACTGGTCTACAACTGAACAAGGGTTTCTTTCTTCCCTTGGAAGGATACAATATTGCTATTGCAATTAACAAAGGCAAATAATATTTACTTCATGTCTGATTTAGCTTAGAGGCTGTTTCATCTGGCTCAAGTCCTATAAGCAAGCAACTAATCACTAGAAATTGTACTTTTCAGCTTACAGGTGCCAACAGGTTACCTAAGGAAGCAGGAGAACCACTGTACTCATTTGAATGTGACATGAACTCTGTGGCCTTCCTTCTAGTACACATAGGCTATGTTGGCAGCTGCAAGCTGTGTCTTATTTAAAAACAGAGATGATATTCCAGACAGTAAGAAACAATAAAAATGTAAGTCCATGCCAAAGTTCAGAGTTGATGCCAGCATATTTCATGAAGAATTTGCAGTTTTGTTTTTGAGATGGTTGCCCTGAAAAAAAAAGAAATAAAGAAAATGTAGTAATGCTCACGTTAAACTTGAAGATCTCACAAAAACCTCAAATGGTGGTTTTCTTTTTGAAAATGAAATTTCATATTTTGCATCAAAAACAGAAATTTTTAGTAAAGCTTCACAGTACCAAGGAGGAAAGTCTTATTAATCAATCCATAATTAAAATGACACTTTATAGTGTACAATCTACAAATGTCTGACATGCTCAGAGAAAAACAAATATTTACTTTGCAGCAGTATAATCACCATATGACATTATCGACATTACTACATGACTTCCCTTCTACTCAGCATTTAAGTTAAAGCTATGAATTACTGTTATTGCAATGTCAAGATTAGACAAATTTTAAATTGAGTTCACTGGTTTCATCTAGTAATCTGTGTTCTCATGTCTAAGTCTGTCAGTTAACGAATACAATTTTTTTTTAATTAGAACTGGTTGTTCTTTTCAATGAATGCAGACAAAAAGCATACTCATGTTTGTTTACCACCACTAAGGACCATGAATGGAGACTGCATTTCTTTCTACTTCTGCTGTAAGAGGCTAAGTGTTCCGAGTGGATGTCTGCTGAGCTCATCTGTTTAAAAAAAAAATTCCTTCAGATGGGGCACAGTCTGTTTGCCCTTAAACATTCTGTAATATCTGCAGCTCCTGTCACTGATTATCCTAACAGCTGGCCAAATTTTAAGTTAGTCTGCTGCTTGAAGTCATCAATTTCTCCCAATTTCCAACCCATGGTCTGTGTCTATGTCTACTAGCCTAATGACAATTGGAACAAATATGCTGTGTGTTTTATGAGGAGGCTCCAGCTGACGTGCCACAAAGTTGCAGTATTCGCTCCTCTCCCAGGACTGAAGCTACTGTGTATATTTGCAGTCTGCAGAAAATAAACGCACCAAAAGTGTGGATGCATATCTATCTGCTATGTGGAATCATGGACATGTAATGATAACTAAAATTTGCTTCCTTATGGAGCACCATTTAGAAATAGCATCAGATGGTTTCAGTCTCATGTGCAGCATGTCCTTCTATAGAACTTTCTAGAAGTTATTCACTACATGTTTCGACCTATAAGGTCATCATCAGGTGTTTTAAAATTATAAATTATAAATGAGGAAACTGCTGTGCTTCCATATTGTGGTTGCTGGTCATCACTATGCGGTCCCTTCTATGTGCATGTATATACAAAGTGGCTGCTGATCTGCCTGCTGTGTTATGCAGTGCAAGAGGAACACGCAGCATAACACAACATGCAGAACAAGCCACCACTTCATATATACATGCGGATGGAAGGGACCGCATAGTGATGACCAACAATCACAATATGGAAGCACACCAGTTTCCTCATTTATAATTTTAAAACATCTGATAATGACCTTATAGGTTGAAACATGTAGTGAATAACTTTTAGGAAGTTTTACAGAGGACATGCTCCACGTGAGACTGTGAAACAATTTGGTACTAAATGAAGTGCAGCAGGTTGCTACAATATACTAAAGTAAAGTTAAGGTATCCCTGTAATAGGCCGTGGAGGCCCATAGGGTTGTGAGATGTTGAGGTTCCCACATTTTCTAGACAATCGGCTCACAGATGGCGGCAAGGTTGTCAGCTATATGTGCCAGCCGCCCTTTACCCCCAAGAATATTCCAAGAATATTCCTGGTACTCATTTCTATTAGAGGCTGAGTCAACCCCAGGGCCATAGTGTGGCTGGAAGGATTAGGTCAATTGAAAAAATCCAATGACTCAACAGGACTTGAACCCATGACCTTCCAGCTTGTATTAGAAATAAGAGCTCATGACCAGATCTGGACTGATACTCACTCCCTCCCGTTTAGTTTTCTTCATCCTTTTCTCCACTTTATTTTTGCCATGTCCCTTTCCATGAAATTCATGAGACAGGTATCTGAAATTAGAAATAGAGACAACATTAAAGTCACTGTATTTTAGGATCTTACAGAATGTGGCCATATTTCCAAGTAACACATAAAATCCTTTCATCCTGAAGTTTCAGCCAGAAAAAAGGGTGTGATACATATAGAGTTCAATCTGTTATTTTGTGAAATAATAAAAATATGTAACATTCCATTTTCCAACACAACTTACTCATACAGCCAATAACCAGAAATGGGCATGCTACAGCATATTAGCGTCGTAGGGATTGAAATGATTAACACAAAATATTTTAATAAAAGTACAATGGGATAGTAGTATTTACACACTCAAATGTCACAATATGTTGGCTAGTTACAAACTGTCACATACAGAATGGGAGAAAAGGAAGTCAAAACAACAAGTATATATCAAAATGTTGTACCGAAAACATCTGAGGTGGAAGACAATAATCTCACCACCCATGATAGTACTGGCCAGCAGAGGGACCCTACAATTTAACATGGGCTCTAACCCATTGGNGGGGGGGTATCCTTTGTATTCATGAAGCTTGAACTCTGGTAGATGTGAAGGCATCATCTGTGAGCAGAAAAATCTGTACAACGATGTGAGGGGGGATAGAACTCAGAACCTTCTGAATGGGTATAATAGCTTACCCCAGGACCTTTTTCTTAAGGACCTAATTTAAGTGGCTCTAGTGTTGCTCCCAACTCATTCACGATGTTAATATGGCTGATGGTAGACAACTAAAAGAACATGTGAGTGGCACGATGACAATGCAGAGTTTCACATAAATCCATCAGTTTGTTCACACATTATCGTGAGGATGGCACACATGGATGGTAAACATGGTAGTCCCATAATCTTGTCTGTTTCCACTAAAAAACTGCTTCCTCCTTTGATTTTTTTCTTCTTAAAATGGCAATTACTGTGGAAACTTTTTCTGCTCTAAAGAATGTACTACCATTGGACAGGCTACCCTCCACAGTGTGACCTATCTTAAAAACAGATATGCTATTATTTGTGCTAACCTGAAAGCCATCTTTGCATTAAGTAAGTGTCCATCATCATCTATGTAGGCGAGTTTAACATTTGGTTTGGAGCCCTCCTTTTCTTTGAAGTCTGACGTCGGACCACTGTAGCGCTCGTGACGCCCAAACTTTTCATCATCTCTGAAAAAGATAAAGCAATGCTGTATATTAAATTCCTTAATTAGTCTTGCTTACTTTGTTCTGTCTTGACCATCATGTACACATCCCTAATACTCAAGTGGGTCAATCCTGAGAGACAAGACGAGACTTGCAATCCAGTTATAGAGGAGATGACAAAGTATTCAAAGCTCAGATATTCTTTACCCTTCAAAATCTCCTACTCTACTCCATAATCAAAGCAAGTGGCCGATCCCTGTGCCCATGACAACTCTCTTCCCTAAGACCTGCTGCAGAGAAGACTTGACAGCTACACGACAACTTAGGTGACTTAGCCTGCAGCCACCTGCTCACGCTAGTTCCTCACCTGTGGATTTTAATACCTTGAAGATGGAGGCAATACATTCCTCCAAAACATCGGTTTACACAATATCTATACAGTGCCACATCCCAGAAGACAGCATTCTTCATGAGTGACATTCATTACATACCAAGACACTATATGGTAAAGAAGAAAAGTAAAGTTATCCCTGTAACAGACTGCGGAGGTCCACAGGGTTGTGAGATGTTGAGGCTCCATATTTTCTAGACAATCGGCTCACAGATGGCAGTGAGGTTGTCAGCCTTATGTGCCAAGCTATCCCTGAACAGACCATGGAGGCCCATAGGGTTGAGAGACATTAACGCTCCCACATTTTCTAGACAATCGGCCATCAATGGTGGTGAGGTTATCAGCCTTACGCACTGGCCACACTTTACCCCCCAAAAAAATTCCTGGTACTCATTTCTGTTAAGAGGCTGAGTTGACCCCAGGGCTGGAAGGATTAGGTCAATTGAAAAAATTAATGACCTCATCAGGACTTGAACCCATGACCTTCCAACTTGTGGCATAGTGCCTCAACCAACTATCCTACCGCTACTAATATTAAATAGTAATGATTAATGTGTTTCTACTAAAAACCCTAACAAAACTGCAGTATATGATTAAATATGGTACACCATTTATGAAATACTTAAAATATAAACACACAATAAAAACCATTACTAAAGTGTCAATATCTCTTAATTTGAATAGGCCTATGCTGTACATAAAGAATCTGCTAATGACTCACCCATCTCAACTTCATTCCAAGTTCCATGTTTATCTTCTTCTTCCTGACATTTCTTCTCTTCAATCATTTCCCTCTCAAAGTCCTGTAATGTAAATTTTGTATGAGATTAGTAGAACACAAATGCGCAGTCCAAAAATTACCAATTAAAAATTACCTTGAGATAGACTGAAATCTGAACTGCTTACCCATAAAACACTGTATAAGAAATTACTGCACTGTAAAGTACTGACTACATTGTGCAGGATTTGAGCTTCTGACAGCAGTGGTTTTGAAGAGTTCTGTCATCTGGGATATAATGCCGTGTAGTCTGTCGAAAGTCAACAGACATTTTGCAGAAACATGTCGCCTCCATCTTCAGGGCTGCAGAATAAATCAAGCAAGAAACAAGCGGTGGCAGGTAACAAAGCCAAGCTTCCTACCTGCTTCATGCTGGCTTCTCGTTCCCTTTATTCTTTGGCCCTGAAGATTCAGGTCACATGTTCCCCCAGAAGACAGAATTCTTCTGACTACAGATTTATCAGAAACATACTCTCATTCTGTCAAGCAATGTACACCTGCCAAACTAATTCTGAGTTTGCAGTGAGAATACTGTGACGATTAACATTCAATTCACTTTGCAATTAATAAAATTACAAGAACTATTGGTTTTTCATTTAGTCATGTTTTGAGCTATTTATTCATTCCTATTTCAATTTCACATATAATTCCTAGTAGTGTCTTTTCTACCCTTGTATCATGCACATGTCACAGGGAGAAAAAAGAAATAAAAGATGGGGAAAAAAGGCTGGTCTGAGATTTTTGTAGAGGAGATTATGAAAGGCACTATTTCCTGGGAAGTAACATCCTGTAAGTCCACTGACATTCCTTCAAAATGTTTATGGACCTCATCAAATTATACGGCATTTTATTCCAGAAGGTACCACCTGTCAAGAAGATGAACAAAAAGGTTCTACCATTTCATCTATCACATTCTTACTGTATAATGAGTGCTTTCATTTCTAGGATTTCTGCTGGATGTTTCCAGTTCAGTAATTTATATATTCATTATCATGGAATTCAACTGTAATTAAAATATATTCTAATTCTGTTGCAGCTGCAGTAAATAACTGTAGATGGGCAATGGACTGTATCTTGTCTTGACACATGCTAAATCAAAGTGCCTTGCCGAGTGTACATTTATCTGTGGATGGTTATATTGCACTCACAAGTAGTTCCTGAGTGTCCTCATCCCTGTTGCCAGCCAGACCATACATGGAGATGTCACCCAACGTACAGCAGAATTCTGCTGTAGCATTCAGCACAATGGAACCACCTTCCGTGTTTCCTTCTGAGTTTCTCTCCAGTATTGACTCTCCCACCTACAAACATCATAAATCACAAACAGTTAAATTATGTAGCTATACAGCATTCTTCTATATGTAATAATACAAATGCCATCGTGAATGCAACAATTTATTTGGTTGTAGTTCTTTGTTTTTTCTTCCTCTACACTACATGTTTCGGCCATAACTGGCCATCATTAGGTGTATTTTTCACTACGTAGGTCTCTCATTGCACACAGTACAAAATCTAAAACACCAGCCTGTCAGTTTTGTTTAAAATCTCGCCAACATACGCTCGTCAATTTGATTTTAGAATTCCAGTTTAAAATTTTAAGTTTTAAATCACAGGGATACCTGCTCTGCTTACGTGTGCTGCAGCAGCTATTTCTTGTTTTCAGCACCGTTCATGTATTATTCTGCGCAGGCTCCCTGTGTGTTATTAAAGATGAGCAGCGACAAACACACAGGGAGCCTGAACAGAATAAATAATACATGAACGATGCTGAACATAGGATTCATGAACATAAGAACGCAGTTCCCTTTTTTTTTTTTTTTTAAGTTCGAAATGCGGACGTAAAATGAGTCTGTACGATTGGGAGTATTTATCTCTTCTTATAGGAGTTCAATACTTTTTTTGTGCTGATCTGAGTTCTATTTTAAATTTATATATAATACGGGAATGCGCACAATGTGCATAGAGTAATTGTGTAAGATTTGAGGCTTTCACGGCGGTGACTATGAAGAAAGCAGTCTTCTGGGATTTGGCACCGTGTATATGTGGTGTTAACCGACGTTTCGGAGGAACGTATCGCCCCCATCTTCAGGGTTGAAGAAAAAGTATAAGTAAATCTGCAAGCGACAACACCGTGAGACACGGTCAAACAGACTAAATAAAGAACATACCGTTCTCTGCTCAACGGTATGTTCTTTATTTAGTCTGTTTGACCGTGTCTCACGGTGTTGTCGCTTGCAGATTTACTTATACTTTTTCTTCAACCCTGAAGATGGGGGCGATACGTTCCTCCGAAACGTCGGTTAACACCACATATACACGGTGCCAAATCCCAGAAGACTGCTTTCTTCATAGAGTAATTGTTTTCTATTCGCGACTGTATTCGGTTATTGATGTGGTTAAGTTTTTGCATATGGTAATGTGGTATCTACTGCACTTTTTATCACAGTATTTTAAATTTATGACAAGCACTTGTTACCTCACTTGTTTCACTACTATCATCGATGAAAACTTGAGTGAAAACATCATTAACCACTGAACGAACTGCCATTTTGGATATCAATAAGGGTGATGATCGATCATGATCGATCTCTCAGGAATTTCTTATACAGCTCCTAATAATTTTGTAGAAACACCAAATTATTCAGTTTATAAAATAATTTATAGTCAACATCACACCGCTCTCGTATGCTGAGTGCCATTAAACTACAAGAGCAAAAACAGAACTAATTTTGAACTTTGATAAAAGAAAATGCAATATTTGTATATTTTAAACTGGATTGATAGCTCAGTCGATATGGTCGATAGCGACCGATAGCGACAGGGTACATACTGCACGACTTATGACAGGGGGTGGTAACTCAATGCTATTGGCCGGCGACATAGCCACCGTGACGTCATGAAGCATCACTGCTGCCGCCACACTACGGATTGGCTGCCTCCAGTGCCGAGTGTTCGGTCGGTAAGAGTGTATGCTATCATACCACCTGAACTGTCGGTAAGAAAGCATGCTATCATACCACCAGCATTTGTGTACTGCTCCCTTCCAAAGAACCACTGGTTCACACGAATAGCTAGAAATAATAATTGATGTAAATGAAATGTTCATATTTTACAGGCACTGGTGAGAAACTTTCTCCCAATAAATAATGTTGCAATCCTGGCCTCTTCTACTGCAGAAGTTCTTACTCCATTGTGTGTTTCTTGTTTTTGAACTGAGTTTTATATCACTTCACTCAAAACCATATGGAGGGGCATGAGTTACATGATATCAAACTCATTTCGAAAACAGAAAACACACAATGGAGTAAGAACCTCTGTAGTACAAGATATCAGGTTGCAACATTATTTATCGGGAGAAAGTTTCTCACCAGTGCCTGTAAAATAAGAGCATTTCATTTACATCAATTCAACACCCCTTTACTGAAATGCAATGGACATTTAAACTATAACATATATAGAATACTTGTGTTTAGGAAAGCTGATGGTGGGTAAACTTGAAAGAAAATTCTGTTTCCATCAGAGATACTTGTATTCAACTTCATAACATTGCTTACAACTTATACTTGAAAGCTATATAGAACATAGCTTTTCAGTTACATTAATGTGTTATAAATCATGTATAGGGAGTAATAGTACTGAGGTTTCCATTTGTTATTAATTTCAGTAGTATAATGAAACTTGAGAATCTGATACACACTCTTGTTAACAAGATTAAGATTGCATTTGATAATATATGAAAAGCAATAAAATAATTGCAGAACTCTGACAAACTTCATGATCTGAAACATGCTCATGTTTCCAAATTCAATACTAAACATAATAATGTGGCCAAAATAATAAATTAACTGAACAAATATAATGAACCTTGAAAGTCTGATATATATATGTTCATAAGTTCTAATAATAATGTTATATTTTAGCGTCCTGTTGCACTGAATCATGTCCATGATGTGTATTTATGTCAACCGTGTTACAGTGCACACAATTTCACCTTTCTCTTCACTTTTACACTACATGTTTCGGCACTAATGTGCCATCTTCAGGTGTGTCTCTATCCACATCAAACTACTGCACTGCATGCCATGACGTCTTCATTCTANTAAAATGACTAAAATGCGTATTCGTCATGTATAACAACAAAGTCTAAATACTAAAACCTTTCAGGATTCGTCATCCATATGTCATATCTCAAATACGCGAATCACACCAATCCTCCTCTATGGGAGCACTCTTCCTACATTCATGTGTTGTGTCTTTCTCTTGTGACTGCGTGTGTTGTACTGATGTATACACACAACACAGAGCACAATACACACATGAATGTAGGAAGAGTGCTCCCATAGAGGAGGATTGGTGTGATTCGCGTATTTGAGATATGACATATGGATGACGAATCCTGAAAGGTTTTAGTATTTAGACTTTGTTGTTATACATGACGAATACGCATTTTAGTCATTTTATGATGGAGAAGTGACGGCACGCAGTGCAGTAGTTTGACGTGGATAGAGACACACCTGAAGACGGGACATTAGTGCCGAAACATGTGGTGTAAAAGTGAAGAGAAAGGTGAAATTGTGTGCACCGTAAGACGGTTGACATAAATACACATCATGTTCATAAGTTCAATGCTGAACACAATAATATGGCCAGCATAATAAAATATCTGAAGCAATATAATGAACCTTGAAAATCTTAAATATGTAAATGTTCACAAGTTCAATGCTGAAGACAGTAATATGGCCAACATAATGAAATTACTGCTCACAAGTACATTATTAAACTTACATTTACTTTCTCAGTGTATCTTTATAATCTGTTCAGTTTATGAAAAGTCAATAAATAGAAAAAATCAGAGAAACGTTTCACTCCTTGTGGCGTTTTTCTGTGCCATTTTATAACAGTACAGATATGATCTCGTTTCTATAGCTGTACTAGCATGTGTGCTGCATCTAAATTAATTGCCTCTATGTTTCTACCATATGGCTAGATGATTCCATACTGAACCCAGAATAGACTGGCTTCTAACATCCGGTGAAATCAGTGACACAATTTTCCATCTCAAAAGAATCTTTGTTATAGGAAAGGGTTTTCTATTGTCATTTCTTTTCCTTCAGCTCTAACCAATTTAATGCCTGTGCTGGCCTCAAAATATATTCTTTTATCATTATATCAGTGGTCTTCTTGTTACTCTTTACAATATTTGTTTTTATTATTTCCAGATCACTTTTGGCTACCCATCTTTACCCAATTTTCTTTAAATGCCCCCAGTAAGGACTAATGCAGCTATATTATAGATATTGAGCTTTTTATTATAGGTTGGTATGTTTTAATCATGCATATCCAGCAAACATTTTTTTTTCCTTTTTTTTTGTCCCTTTTACTCCATATCTGTGTCTGTCAATTGTACAGTTTCAAACATGTTGACCTACTCATGGACTGTCTTTCTTTTTACCAAAGAATATCGATTGCAGGCATCTGAATACAAAGAGCTCAGATAAATATCTGGAGCTAAGAGGGATGAAATAAATGGATGCTTTAGGATATTATATTATGAAATTTAGGACTATACAGTTCACCTACTGTTATTAAAATAGTTATATTGAGGAGATTACAGTTGGCATCAGTAATGGAGGGAGGGGGGGGGTGTTAATGGGAAATCTGTAGCCCATGGATTTTTGTAAAAGATGAAAATTGAAGAAAAGAAGGAAATATACCAAATATTAATAGTAGAAATTGAAAATATTTTAAAAATTTGTTAGTATATCGTGCATACTCTAGACTCTAGAGTCTAGAGAGACCAGAAAAAATGTTCTTAAGTGACTCAAACCTAAGTTTGTATGCAAATTTTCTAGCTACTCCCCTGAAAAATAACTGTATCCGCCCTCATTGATGGGCTGCATATGTAGCTCGGATCATAGACTCAGAAGGAGATGGAAGGACGGCATTAAAGCGGACATAAGTGAAATATATTTTGATGACTGGAAGAAAAGCTGGGTCAGCATCGTATCCAGTAGTGGCCATTGGTACTAATGGCTGTCCAGTCCTTGGATTCTTCTACCAGAGAGCTTGCTTAACTGTAAATCACCCATAGTCAGGAGATATGTTACTGGGATAGATGAAAGAAGAACTGCACATAGAAGTTTGGTGGGGAAACCGTTTAGAAAGCAGTCAGTTGAATAACTGAAAGAAAGAGATAGGGATAACTTTGAGATGGGTCTTACAATCAATGCAAGAATGCAAAATGGCTGGAACTCTTCAGGATCATATGCAATTAGGGGGTTTTGAGTTGGAGCGTCTGCTTCTACTACCAAAATGTCAATCTGTAAATTATTCCATATTTACGTATAAATTATTCGTCCTTTATGTTACACGAGATTAGAGTTTTGAATGGATATTACTTTCATTGGATCTTTAAACTGTATCAGGTGTTTCCGTCCTATTTATTATCCTACTGCCATATGGTTTAGTATAAATACAGAGCTATGAACTTCGGAAAAACGTTGGCTGCTCTTATAATCAGAAATCATTGACCGGCCTTCCCATCTTCAACCTCTTCTAGAATATGAAATGCTGTCTGCTGGTGTCTTATGATCGCTTATGATATTGTCTCTTTTCCCTTTTTAGGTTGCTGGACTGTGAAGGTAGGCGGATGATGGGGAGAGGGGGTAGATCAGGCAGGATACGGGTAGGTTGCTCGAAATGTTGCCCAACCGCATTCAGTCGTAGCAGCGTCCTGCTCCTACCTATCCGCCGGCTGCCGTCTGCCTGCCAGTTGGTGACTGGACGTTACTGGAGAAAGGCAGGATGTGTTGGTTCCAGTGCAATGGTTTTAAGCTACCTCAATATACAAAAAATTACAGTTGCTAGTTTTAAATGACTCGAGGTACTGAATACAGTTAGCCGCGAAGCTGATGGATTGCAAGGTCAAAAACCGGCGTTAAGATTTTTTGTTCCTTTTATCTTAGCTGTCATGAATTTGGAATATACTAAAACATGTATGAAATACTCACAGTTCTTTAGATATGAACAGACTATTTCATATTGAAAAGCGTTAAATAATATAGAAAGCCATGTGAATATAGACAGTCAATAATTGGCGAAAGAAAAGAAAAGAAAACAAGTGCCAATCAAACACTTTATTTCGGTAAGAAAAACGAACACTTTTACGTCATATGGCGAAAGCAGGAGGATGTGTTATCAACACTGCCTACGCACGCGACACCTACCTATTAGCGCCTACTAGTTCTGAACTAATATCAACACACCGGAATTGTTCAAGTTATTAGTGCTACAGTGCAGTAATAGTGGTAGACGGTTATATCTTCTTGAAATCAACTGTACGAAAAAAGAGATACACGCCACGAAGTAATCGAGAGCTTTAGCCGACTGATGCTGCAACCCACGTGAGTATCACCTTCATACCCGTAGTCATGTTTATTTAGGGCAGAGATTGCAAACACACGAAACCACTTTCTCATGTAGTGAAATAATAATAAAAAAAAAGCATACAAAATTAGTGTTTACGTATATATAGATAAATTAGTTGTACTTAAACTAATTTTGTATAGTGTACTTTTATTCGTTTTATTTTTTTTACGAGAACTGAGACAGTTTCGCCGTTCTTAATTTACGGTGATCAGATTTTGATTAATGAATTAAACATGAAGTCTTTTGCATGCCTCTGTGACTTGGCAAAGGCTTTTGACTGAGTAAATCATGAAATTTTATTAACTAAATTACATTTTTTTGGCATTCAAGGAACAATGTTAAGTTGGTTCAGATCCCACCTAACAGATAGAAAATAAAAGATTGAAATAAAATCATCAAATTCAATCCAAAGTACCTACTCAAACCGGGGAATAATAAAACATGGAGTTCCACAGGGGTCAATTTTTGGGCCTTTGCTTTTCATAATTTATATAAACGACCTCCCTCCTACACTAAGGACCTCATCAACACCTATAATATTTGCAGATGACACTAGTGTTATAATTTCTGGTAAAAATTTAGATGATTTCTGCGTGTTAACGAGCAAGGTTCTTTCGCAAATGAGTAAATGGTTTTCTGAAATCAAGCTGTCCCTGAACCTACAGAAAACAAATGTAATAAAATTTATGACAAAAACTCACCACAATATCGATTAAACATTGGATATAATGATAAATATATGGAAGAGGGAGTAAACACAAAATTTCTTGGCTTTCAAATTGATAATAATTTAAACTGGAAAAATCATACCGATCAGTTTATCCCAAAGTTAAGTAGAGTATGTTATGCAGTTAGATTCATGTTACATATCAGTAACATCGACACTCTCAAATCAATCTATCTTCCTTATTTTCATTCTTTAAATGAAGTATGGAATAATTTTCTGGGGTAATTCATCTGACAGTAAAAAGGTATTTAGATTGCAAAAGAAAATTGATAGAATCATGATGGGTGTCAAATCCCGTAATTCCTGTAGAGATCTATTTAAGAGACTACAGATCTTAAGTTTTCCTTGTGAATATATATATATATATATATATATTAATTAATAAACTTCATTACAAATAACGAGGAACATTTTCAGACGAATGCGGATGTACACAGTGTTAACACAAGACACAAACACTGTCTTCATAAACCAATTGCTAACCTCTCGTGCTTTCAGAAAAGCGTATAGTATTATGCTGGGATCAACATTTTTAATAGCCTGCCATAAGATCTCAAAGGTCTTATGAATGAAAAGGCGTGATTTAAAACAGCACTGAAACGATACTTAAATACACGTTCATTCTACTCTGTTGATGAACACCTATTGTCTGGAAGATAACTTATCTATCCTTAAATAGCCTTGTGTGTAGTCACTGTGTATTCTTGGTTTCTCCTGTGTGAGAACTCCATTGGGTCTGTACATGTGTTTTGTATATTTGTATATTTCTTATGTGGTTTTTTTGGTTATAGACTCATGGATATTATTTTACCCAGGTGTCTGTAAATGACACGTAGAGGGCTCTTGTGAACACGGTAATGAACCTTCGGGTTCCATAAAATGCTGGGAGATTCTTGAGTAGCTGCAGAATTGGCTTCTCCTCAATAAGGGCTCAGTTCCTTAAGTAAGTAAGTATTTTTTTAATTGCTAGTGGGGTGGGACTAAGTCCCTTGTACTGCTGCCACTCCTGGCCTATTGTACCAGCCCCAGATGATAGGTGAGGGTGATTGTGGAGCAATTGGCGGAATGAAGATTTGCAGGGGAAACCGAAGTACTCGGAGAAAACCTGCCCCAGCGACACTTTGTTCACCACAAATCCCACTTAACCAGACCAGGGATCGAACCCGGGCCGCCGCGGTGGGAAGCCAGCGACTAACAGCTTGAGCTATGAAGCGGCCCTAGTATATAAGCAAGTAAGTAGGTAAATGATGTTACTTGCAATTTTGACACCTCTCCCGTTATCTGGAATTTCTGAACTTCCTAAATAGTATTTATATTAACGCAGTTTCAATTTATTGATTAGTATATCTCAAAAAGTAAAGTTTTCGCTCTGCTTAGTTAAGCACCATGCCATGAAGATATATGGGGAAGTGGAGATATTGCTTCACTCATTCTTTAATCTTTGCACTACATGGAAATGAGTGATCATCTTCAAAACTCGGTCTCTTTTATCCCATGAAGTGTCCCCAGTTCCCGTTGGACAGAAGGCCCAGAGCCCATTTGGACTCTGTGGAGAAGTGAAAAATTTGAACCAGCCTGGAATCGAACACTGATGCCCCAGTCTTGCTGCCCGTAGCCTAATCGACTTATCTTTTATTATTGTAATAATTTTCCGTTTAAAGGCTACTGTTTTCATTCTGCTGACAGGCAGTTAAACTTGAACAAACAGAAAAACATAAAAGAGCTAGCCGCAAACCCCGAATTAAGTTACAGTTCTGTTTTTGAATTATGCAATTTTGTATTTCTTACAATTTCTTCACTTCCATAAAAGATATAGAAAATTATATTTATGAAATGGATTTACTCTTGGAACAAATTAGTAGTAACAACAAACATCCGACGCGGCGGCCCGGGTTCGATCCCGGGTCTGGGCAAGAGGGATTTGTGGTGGACAAAGTGGCGCTGGGGCCGGGTTTCTTCGAGTACTGCCAATCTTCATTCCACCAACTGCTCCACAATCACCCTCACCTATCATCTGGGCTGATACAATAGGCCAGAAGTGGCCGCAGTACAAGGGACTTAGTCCCAACCCACTAGCAGTAAAAAACAACAAACCTTGAAGCTATGTAGTCTTCGTACTGACAGCGCTGTCAAATAGCCTGCTAGCGAAATAGTAACAAGCTGTTATTATTCCCGGGCTTAATTAATTTAGCACCACGCCATGAACACATATGGGGAAGTGGAAATAGCTCCACCATTCTTAACCCTGTCACTAGGGAGGTGAGTGATCAGATTCACGCCCCTGCCGCTTTAGCACCGCTGCACATTGTGTAACACACTGGGTGGGCCAAAAAGCTGGTTTCGACTTTACGGAAAAGGGAAAACCCTCTTGTTTCTTCTGCGAATCGAATCCCATTTCCTTGGTCGTCCAGTCTGTAGCCTAGCTATCCCGGGTAAATTCAAAATGAGCAGGTTTGTGGGCGATGCTGAAGATCTACTGCAAGTCTACAGTGGGAAACCCCAACTTAAGGCGACTGATGAAACAAAGAGCCCGTTCGGAGAAAAAAAAACACATTTTCGAGAAGAAAACGTAACAAACTGGGAGTAATATTTAACAAGATTGAAAAATATACCGTGTAGGCCTGCATTTAAATGACGCGTTTGGCAGAAGGATTTATAACATGCCGACTCCTCAACGTTCTATAATTGATCACTACACACTACAGTAAAGGAATCAAACAGATTAAAAGGTTTGTTCGAAACATTTCTTCCTGTGATAAATGTTTAGCGAAATACGGTTAAGATCCCTGCAGGAGTTCATGTATATCTTGATGAAAGCGGACGTTAAAATTGTTCTGTCTAAATAAAAAAATGAAACGATTCTACAATTAAGCATAAATTTATGTAATATCGTAGTTCATGAAAATTCTTCAAGTGCTTCTCGACTTGTTTCGCGAGTGCGGAAGGATTGAAGAAACTTAATAGGCGCACAACAAAGTTACCTAAAAGCGGCAGCCAATTCACCTTCTTCCTTCACTTTCGACGGAACAGAATGTCACAACGAAATCGCGTTAGAAAGCAGTATGGGTATGCCTGTTAACCGCATGTTTTCGTGGTTAAGTAAATATTATTACGTGATAGACTGACTATAGACGGGGTTTGGACCGGTAATTGGGTTTATTGGACACTTACAGATCGTAACTAGAAGTAACTATAGAGGTATCACTAATTCACACAATAAGTAGTTCATTACAGCAGACACTAAGTCTTGTCAGTCTGCTATCTTCAATGGTTGTCGCCTGGTAATGGCTCCGGACGCAATAGCTTCCTCAGCTTCCGTGTTCACGCCCTTACTGGCCGGCGACTGTCTCACAAGGAACTCAAAATTATGTTAAGGCGACGGTCAGTTGGCCACTCTGTCTTGGAATAAAGCATCCATCTGTGGCTTAAGACCAGACTTTATTACTGTGACAACAAACTCTAGACTTGTCCTGCTTATAACGCCTCTGTAAGGACCGTATACAAAACACCACTTCCAACAGTTCCTCTACTGTAACGTCACGCAGCTGTCGCGCGGACCGGGTAGAGAACACCGCTTCCCAGTTAGTCCTTTGGTGCGTGTTAGGAATCTGTTTCCTGTCAATATGTGTTGTTTACAGGGTCATTATTTGGCAACGGTCTACAAGCTACAATGTTCCTATTGAAAGTTCTGTGGCCACAAGAGAATATTTGTTACACATTTTGAAGTGGCGTAACGCAATAGAAACGTTGCGCCATTGTTGACTTATTCAAATGTCTTCGTTGATGCGAAAAATCAACCTTTCGGGGCGCGGTCAGAAAGGTCGAAATAACCTTCGATGCCTTTATTTGCAACATTGAATCATAGAAGACTGCCTAAGCTCATTGTTACGAGGTTCACTTTGTGATTTATCTAAACGAAACCGATGAGGTTAGCTTAGCGGTAAAGCTTCAGACTTGTATGTGGGAAGTGTTTAGTTCGAATCTCAACCAGGACACCGACTATACTGACTGAGGCTTCTTATGACTTTCCTCAATCCCTCTAGGTAAATACCCGGATAGCTCCTCGGCTTGATCACAGTAACTTTATTCCAAATCCTTTCGAATCCACCATTCCTCGGTCATCGTACTATGCGACACAATACTCCTAATTTAGAGACGAACAGCCACGTGAAATCACTCACAAAAATATCTAGATGAAGTTTTATAGTACCTACCTACCTACCACTTGGCGCTACAGCCCTGGGCTAG